ACAATCTCCCCCCAATCCCACAGGTCGAGGACGAGGTTACAAAGATCATGTAACCCGCCTCCAGTGTGTAGCTACCCATGGATGGCGACACGATTCCCGACAACGAGTCTCGATCCAATCTACGAAATTCACATATACTTGACACTGGCTGCAAGAGGGCGTGCAGCTTTGACGAGCATTTGGCTAATGGGCGCTCTGCCATTGATCCAGGAAACGGAAGAGATCACGTCGTCGCTCAAGAAAGTGGGCATCCTCTGAGGCGTTCAAGCCGATCGACCGTCGGTGGCAGAGTCAGAGGCAGATCGCGTTGGGGCGACAAGGCCGATGCGCGACAGTGGGACAACGGCACAGAGCAGGTGCGATGGCGGACGGAGGGGCCCGATTGGCCTTTTGTGTGCATAGATCTTGGAAGATGGAAAACCATCCTCTGCAAATATCAAGAGAAGATACATGAATTGGTGCGGGTTGGGCAGATTAGCATCCGCGAGGCCCGTTGGCTTGGAGCCGTCCCCAGACACGTCGCAGACGCAGACCACGGGGCCCGAGTCGGCGATGGTACTCGACGAGACCTGCACCCCGGAAAGGGCATCAAAGCTGCTAATAAAACTAGTATTACGCCGCGAATGAAGGTCAGTTGTATGGGAAGCTGCAATTGTGCATTCAGACAGTATGAAGTCATGTCTCGAGATGGGGCGTCCAGCTTCACTCACTCGTGGCCTCTTGACGCCATCTCATTCGCCTGGAGATTACCGGCTGCGCCCCCCTTTCACGGCGAGGAGTGGAGTGGACTGTTCTCGGTCACGGGTGGTCCCCAACAAGCAAGAAACAGACAGGGACTGGACCCCGACTCTCTAGGCGGTCCCCCGCGAATCCGGTGCCAAGGACGACGCAGGCCGTCGCAGCGCAGTGCGGCAGCCCAGCAGGACCAAGATACGCTTTGTCACAGACTCCCCGTTGGCCCCGCCCCCGTCCACTCTCGGCTCCTATCTTTGGGACTGGTCAATGGTCATCCGTATCTCTGATATGGTAATGCAGATGGGCCTGCCAACTTTCGCGGTCTGGCCATGTATGTGCGATTGGGCACTTGTATGGCCAATACCTACCTTAGTTACGGATACGGTGCCAGCAGACTGGGCGGGGACCTTGTCAGCTCGGAAGCCAACCCGCTGCAGCGACACGACACAGACCAGCACCAGGCCATAGTCCACACCCAATACACCCCGGCGGCCCTTGGAAGGCGTCACCGCACCTCAGATCAGCCGAAGCTGCAACAGCACCACTGCCGCCGCCGCCAACTCTACCTTCCCGCCCTCTCCCGCCTGGTCTCTGCTTTAAACTCCTCCGTCACCCCATCCCTTACCCCTCCGTATCCCGACTTCAACAACACCTCACCAAAACATCCGTTATTTAGTAATGTCTGTCGACCAGATCACTCACTAGGCGCATCGCGTCTAGCCTCCGTTCCACCACCCGAACCGAACTGATCAACAGGGTCGAGTCGCACCTTGCCAGAGCTTATCTAGAGAAGGCAGGCTACCGGCTTCCTCCAACGAACCAGACAGCAACCTCCGCCATCAATACCAATTTCCCATCATCGCGACGCATCATTTGCGCCTCATCGCGTATTTCTGCATCACTCCGATTCTCTGCACATAGAGACACCGCCTTTCCGACTGCCGCCGCCCCTTTCCCATCTTGCGCGACTCGGAACCCCCGTGACATCATCCGACACGTTAGCACTACGGAATCCAACGGCTCCATCACAACCCGATCGCAGCGCGATACCGGCGATAAGCCAACACAGCCCCCGGATCTACAGCAAGGGAGCTCGTGACTTCGTACCTTCATTCTGCTTCAACATTCGAATGCCTTCTGTCCAACACTTCATATCACCACGTCTCCCGAAGCCCGGCCTCGACAACCCAAGATGAAGGTGCGCACAATCTGCTGCACAGGAAGGCAGCAGCGCGTCGCATCTCTGCGGCCATGCTAACCCCCATCATAGTATCTACCACTCCAAGACTTCGACGCCGTCACTGGCGCTCTGAATTTCAACACCCCCGACTGCAATGTTACCGGCGGATGCGATTTGTACACGACGAAATCGACCGGCTCCGATAAGAAGCTCTACAAGAACATCGACAAGGACCTGAGCTCACAACATGCTGCGCTTCTTAAGCTGGGCGCCAGCCTGTCACCGCCAGACCGCGAAGCTATGTTGGCTACGTCACCAAACATGCAAATGTTCTCGCACTCAAGCGCGTTCGGCCCCCTATCCGAGTTGTCAAGTCGTCGCACATTCGCTTATCTGATTGCGACTCTGAATGCGAGTCACCAACACTATGACTTTTCGCACGTCCTGAGACCAGGCGACTTTAAGCGGGAGAGAAACCTGCGACGCGTCATGGGAAATCTCGACTCGATTCTGCAGAATGTGAGACCGCATGTCGAGGCACGCCCGGTCGAGCAGGCCACATCTTCCGAGACCAAGGCGGTCTGGGGCCCACAATGTTGGGCCAAGATCGATAAAGAGATGCGTCTCAACGAATGCACAGTTTTCAGCTACAACCCGGATGTCGACCCCTTTGAGGAGGACGAATCAGCCATATGGGCAGCGCACTACTTCTTCTTCAACCGCGCCTTGAAGCGTGTCGCTTATCTCTACGTGCGCGTCGTCCCTGTCGTCTCATCACAATCACCTCGCCTACAACCGGCGCTTCCGGGATCTGTGAAGCGCCCGCGGAGTACCCAGTTCGATGCGCTCAGTGCAAACAAGCGCGCCAAGTACTGGCTTGGTGATCGCGATGCTGAGGTTGTCGCTCCTTATGAGGACGACGAGGAACAAAGCGACGGCTTCCTCTGGAATCGAGGAGCCGACGGCGATCTGGTCCCCTTCTCAGACGACGACTACACTGACGAACGTTTCTACTACGACGAGGAAGAGGACGATGACAGTGTGTCGGACCGGAAGAGCCCGGTTCGGCGCATGAGTGAGGACGTTGTGGCCCACATGGAGATCTAAAGAGGAACCACTCCCCACTCAGCGTGAGTCCGCATGACTCTTATCGCCTGCCCCGTTTCATCAATGTGAGAGTTCTGGGGCTCTCGTTTCTCTGATTCCACCAGAGGCATTTATGACGCAAACGGAGCTTATTTGATTCAACACGCTTCTTATCAGAGCACTACATGGATAGCTCTTCTCGCCGAAGACTCGCGATGGCTGTCTCCACCCCGGAGCTGTCGAGTCTGGCTTAGCAACGACACCGCGCCATCAACGGCCCAACTGTTGCATGATTCGTTTCCTCGTTTCCTAACCACGTCAGTTTAAATTAGCAATTGTTGATTTGCTTGCTCTTTTCTTTCACTTTTTTTTTTTTTGTACGCTGGCGATTGTAGTTTCTGATTGTGCTCTGTTTTTCGATTTTTCCTACTTGTACTCGATGGCGGTGATACCCTCAAATGCTTTCTCGCCAGGTGGCGCTGGCTGGGAAACGGTAACTACAGGGAGGGTTGCAAAAGTGTGCGAATTTAGGTCCTGGATGGCAAACGGGACTTAAACGGGTCGGGCACGAAATGGAGTTGGACATAATCGGGTCCCTCGGTCGATGGCAGCGACTGGGCGGATAGTGACACCGATTGGAGTTTGGTATCTTTTTATTGTTCGAGCAGCTTTCTGGTTTTTCTACTCGTTTCTTTCTGGTCTGTATTACGCAGTGATGAAAATGAAAGTACGAGTGGTACTCAACGTACATGAATCCCGCAATGATGAAGCACCTTTTATGGCCTCTATGGCACCACGACGTCCGAGATAGACTTGTCTTGCTACGCCATCGTGCTGTCCGCAGGTGTAAATGAGCACAATCCGGCGTGACCGTTTCGACTCTCCACGATGTGCAATCTGTCATATCTGCCCACGGCCAACCTGCCCCCTCCACCACCACAATCCGCTTAGGAAGAGGGGACCCGGTGGGACTCAGTCGAGATGCCGACGTGCTCCGCTCATCCGAATGCGGAGATTCCGAGAAGGCGGGGGGATAGGGAGGGGGGCCAAAACCAAACCAAACACCATCGCGGCATCGGTATCCGCACCCGAATTCCCCGGGACCCGTCTTCCTGCATCTATCTCTGTTTAGCATGGTCCACGATCAGCGGTGAACATGAGCAACAGCAGACTGATGAGGCTGGATGCGGCAGGTGTTGGAAGGCTTGCTAGGATTTCGGTATGCAGTGGTTGCGGTATTACATGCGCGCTATTGAAAACACATATGGCATGACAGAACCGTGATATCAACGAGATGGCAAAAGGCACAAGAGTAGGTTTGGGGGGTGATTAGAAAACGAAACCAATGAAATCATTGGTCTACCGTAGTTACTCTCGACATTAAGGTATATGTCCAAAAAAGAAGGTGCCCCCAAGGGACGGGACGTGTGCCACGTCGTGTGCCTCTCTCTATCTTTCCTTGCTTTCGTTTCACCGCCTTGTTTCCCTTTTCCAACCATCAACTCGCTTCGCTCCCCGTGTCATTTGGCGGGGAGGAGGAGGATTCATGCGTCCCGGATATCGTCGTGTACGCCCGGAACGCCAACCGCACTATATGACAAAGAATCGTGATCTGTCTGCCTCCCGTTCCTCTTTACATGTGGTGAATGCTTCCCCCTCTCCAAATCTTTCATCTCTCCTCGCAGGTTTGCAAAAAGACCGAAAGGTAGTCTCGTTTGACGCAACTGTCCCAGCCCATTCAATGCGTCGTTCCCAAAGAAAAGCATGTATGCTAAAGGCGGGTTGCTGCCTCGGTGCCCTCCTCGGACAATATCATTACGAGTACAAATCTTGACATAGGGAAGCAAAATACAACTATAGAACGCCATCACTCCAACTTTTTTGTTTGAGTCGCTTCCAAACGAAAGGAAAGGGGGAATCCTATGCGAAACAACTAGTAATGCAGCGACTGAAAAAAACGCGATAGAAAACTGTCTGCTTGAAAGTCGTTAAACGTCAATCACGTCCCCTTCTCCGAGAGGTATTGTTCTGATGAGGGACCGTTGGCTTGACCATTTGCCTGAACCGGCAATATAGCATCTGCCTTTTCGTTCACGGTCTCCTTATGGACTGCTGAGCCGTTGGAAGCCTTCTGCGGAGTTGACTCTGGCGTCGTCTTCCTTGTCTGGCTGATCGTCTCGGGCTCCTCTGGAATCGTCGCAAACTTCTTCAGCACCTGCTTCAGAGCAGGCCTTCTGATAGGCTTGCTGAGGAATTCGTCCATGCCACTCTCAATGCATTCCTTGACATTGCTCTCCTCCGAGAAGGCCGTCAAAGCAACGATGGGTGCCTTGTAGCCCATTTGACGGATGAGCTTGGTGGATTGTAAGCCGTCGAGGTTTGGCATCTGGATATCCATAAAGATGACGTCGAATCGCTGATTGTTGTCCATATTGGCCTTGACAAGGTCGTATGCCTCCTGCCCGTCTTTGGCAATCGTCACGTCGTAGACTGCTTCCAGCTTGAGCATCTTGCTCACAACCTCGATGTTCGTCGAGTTGTCGTCGGCAACGAGGACCCGTAGCTTGCCACTGTTTTCGCCCTTGTAAGCTATTGCGGCATCGATCGCTGCCATCTGGGACTCCTTCGTGTTCCTCTTTGTTTTTGGTGCGGGATTCGACGCGAAAAAGGGTTGGCTGAGACCGACAAGCCTGGGCTGTTGCTCCAACAGGTTCTTAGCCGTTGTCTCGCCAGCAGGCTTGATAGGTGTATGGTTTCCGCCAGAGTTGCGTTTAGGGTCTCGAGGTATATCTGAAGTCTCGATTGTATCGACGCTGGGAGGCCGAGACTTAATGCTGCTAGATGCCGTGCTCGAAGTTCTACAGGGTGTTAGCCTCAAGGTTTCCCCGTTGATGGAGAACCTTACCTGTCCTTGACATATTTGAGAGGAATCTGCATGGTAAAAGTCGTACCAACGCCAACAGTGCTCTTCAACGTGATGGAGCCGCCCATAAGGGTTGCGAGCTGGTGACAAATGCTCAAACCCAGACCTGTGCCACCAAACTTCTTGCTCAAGCCGAGATCACCTTGCACAAAAGGTTCGAAGACCTTTTGTTGCATGTGTTCTGCGATACCTGGGCCAGTGTCCTCCACTTCGAACTCAAATATATACGACTTTGCGCCTGGCGGTGGCGGCGTTGGAGATCGTTCTCGGATGTGAATGTGCGGGCTTGACTTGGGCTCCATTGGGTTGATGGTTAGAGCAGTGCCTTTAGGATTCTCGGTAGTTGAGTTGGCTCTGGAGCTTGTCGAGTTGTTCGAGCTGGAACCGACTCGGTGCCGAGACCTGCCGTGTCTCCGCGATTCCTTAGAAAACGAAGATGAGCGGCTCCCTTCCCCATTAAGTGCCGGAGTCTCTGCCTCGCCAATGCACTTGATCCGTACGTCGACCCTACCGCCAGCCGGGGTGAACTTCAAGCTGTTGCTAACGAGGTTGATGATAACCTGGAGAATCCGGTGCGTATCGCCCCAGAGGCACATGTCCTTCAATCTGCCAGTACCGTGAGGCCCAAGAGCTGGTAGCCTTGTGTCCATGCTTCTTCTTTCGGGGCTTAGTTCGATGACATCGGATGCGAGGAAGTTGACATTCAGAGTGATTCTGCCCTCTCTGACTTGTTTGTCGAAAATGGTAAGAATCTGTGAACGGATGTCCGCCAACCGGAATTCCTTCTCTTCAAGACTGAGCTGCTGGCCGATTTGGTTCTTGGAAAAACTGAGGAGATCCTCAAGGAGATGAAGCAGTAAGTCACCTGAAACCGTCAGAAACGTTCACAAAAAGTCGCCAAACGGAGGCTTACCTGACTTGTAAAGCGTCTTGAGAGACTGCTTGATCCTGAGAATATCGTTCTCTTCCATACAAACGGCACACATTCCCAAAATTCCGTTGAGTGGCGTCTTTAACTCGTGTGAGATGTTTGCAATAAAGAGCGTCTTGCTTTCATTAGCAGCTTCGGCCGCCTTCTTGCTAATCTCGAGTTCTCGCGTCCGCTCAAGAACCTTCTGATCCAGCGACAAGTATTGCTTGACCAGCTCGTCGCTCATGTCGTTGAAGGTCTCGGTCAACTCGGTGAGTTCGTCGGTAATGAAATGCTTCCTGTCCGTGACCTTGCCAGGAATCTTGAAAATACGACGGGTTGAGTCGCGGTCGTGTTCGGACGCGGGCTTTTCCTTTGGCTTGTATCCGACAAGCTTGTATACCGCTGCAATGATTCCATCCTTTCTCGAACGCCGGGATCGCGACGAGATGGCACCGGAACCGGGGGTTTCGTCGTCATCTAAGTCGTCCCAGTCGCCATCTTCGTAGCCTGGTGGTTGGACTGTCTTCTCTGTGGCCGACTTGAGTCTGCGGATGGGCATGACACTAAGGTGTGCGCATGGGAAAATGAGAATGATTATCAGACCTGCTGTACCGAATACACAACCTAGAATGATATTCCGGAGCGTGTTTATCGGAGCGTCTGCTTCAGACTTTGCCTGCTCGACAACGACGGTCCAGTTGACGAGGGCCGTGTTGGTTCTCGCAAATCCAACAGCAACAGGAAGTCCTTGTTCGTTGTACGTTGACAGCATGGAACTGGAATTATTTGGCGAAACAAACTTTTTGGAGAATGAGTCAAAGACTGCTGGATAGTCCTTCATTGGGAAAGGCTCGTCATCCTTGCTGCTGGCCCAGCTGCGCTCGTTGTGTCGATCGTCTTGTCCTGACAACGGATTCGGCGGAAGCACAAATTTGACCGGCACGTTCCCAAAAGTATCTCGGTTGGGAAGATACGTAGCGTTGCTGGCCGGCTGATCAATTGGAAACCTATTGGACGAGTTCGTCGGCCCGACAAGCAGGACAAGGCCGGTGTCACCTAGACCCTCCCGCGAGTTGCGTACGCTGATCAAAGAATTCGCCAGGCCGACGAGCGTCATGTAGCCGAGAATAAAATCCGGCAGCTCGTTGTCGCGGATGGGAACAGTTATCGATATGAGAGCAGCAGTCTCGTTGAGAACAAGCGGGCCGAGGAGCAGACCACCATTAGTAGAAAGACGAACGTCGGGGAAGGCATACGCAGAGAAGGCCCTGGTGTTGTTTCTGTATGGGTTTTGGCGGCCGAGATCCGCATAAGTGATGTTTGGGTAAAGATCCGGGGGATAGCCCTCTGGCGTATCCGAGAGCAGGGTCCTGTTGCCGCTTGCAGTCCACGGCAACTCGATATCGGGAATGGAATCGCCCGTGACGTTCACAAGGCCATACTTGTTGCCCGTGGTGTTACGCGAGTAAAGCCTGCCTTGTAACAATCCAGTGAGAGAGACCACGCTAAGGGCACTCTTGAGGTCGTCCTTCGCATTGACCCAATTTGAATCGCTGGTGTTGCCATTGTAGAAAGCATCGAGGGACTTCTGGATGAGAATTCGCGAGGAGATGGTGGTGATGCTGGTCTGAACGAGCTCGAGCTCGGAGGAAATACGAGATGCCTTCAATGAGGCAGTAAGAGCAAGCTCACGTCCTTCAACCTGGGCGACGAATTGGTTGACATAGATCCAGACAGGAACGGACAGGATCATCAAGCCAACAAGAACAGCAATCACCACGAGGAAGGCGAGCTGTTCTCGAATGGCGATCCTGATGCCCATTTTCGAAACAGACTATAACGAGGAGTCTGGCGCGGTCTGGGCGGCATTCATCGTCTGCAGTAGTGAACCCTAGATCCGACTCGAGCAACGTTTGGCGATTTTGTCGTGACGGGGGATGGAAGTCGGAGGTTTTGTTGTTGTGCTTGGCACGCGGGCGCCCAAAGGCGAAAGCGGTTGTGTTGTGAGGTATCCGCAATTGCCAAAAGTTCGTTTCCGTTTGATCGAGGTGCAGCAGCAGCAGCAGCAGCCGGGGAGCCGTGTCTGTCGTTAAATTGCACAGGGAAGGGTGACAGCGGCGGCCCTCGGGATGCGCTCCTGGGTCGGTCTTCGCTTTGGAGACGGCGAGCTCGTCCGTTCGGTCAGTCGTCGAGGAGGCAGAAGATTTGCAGACGCGGCGAGGACGTCGTCTTCTCGTCTCTCGGTTGGTTGAGGTGGAGGGTAAAATTGGTAGAAGGAAATGGGCTGAGGAGGGCGAGGAGAAAGAAGATGAGAGACCGCTGAGGGTGGAGTCGCGGGAGGAGCTGGGATCCAGGTCCCATTGAGACCAGGTCCAGGGTAGGCACACTGGAGGTGCAGTGGAGAGTAGAGGCTGCAGGCGCAATGGGAGTACTTGGCGGGTACGTATCGTTTACCTGAGCTCACTCAGGTCTAGCGCTTCGGACAAGGCAAGGTATGGTGGTTGCTGTGTTCCCTTCAAACAGTCCAGAACGGCAAGGACGAAGAAAGGTTGCGAGATTACCAAGACACCACGAGCGAGAAGAGGTGCAGCTGAAGATTCAGACTCTGACTCGGAGAAGCTTCTTCTGCCGTTTGTCTGTGTAACGATGCCGCCGGAGCTGGAGCGGTTCGTCTGTGTTGCGCATTTCTAGCTACCTACCTGCCTACCTTGCCTTTACTAGCTATCTAGATACCTCCGCGAGCTGCTTTAGCTGGCTGTCATCGAGGCCAGCGACCTCAGGGACGGAAGGGACGGGCTTCAGCAAGCCAGGACAGAAGACGGGCTACCGCGTCCTTGGTACCTTAGCGCCAAGTATCACACACGTGTAGAGGACGCTACAGCGTAGCGTCTCGTAAGGGCGAAGGTTAGGGGAGAAACGGGCTTGCTCAGCCCTCGACTGCTGACTGGCAACTTTCGTGTCGTTTGGCGCGGGCGTAGGTACGACGGCCGTCGAGAAGCATTCACGTACGCGCCTGGGGGATAACATGGCGGACAGCATACGTGGGTGGCCGCGCAAAGCACGGGACTACGAGTGCCGTGGCTGCTATTTGCGGCTGCAGAACTCACTCAGCACGGCCATCTAGACGGATACACGGACGACAAGTCATCGGCCGAAGATTGATCGTCGTTGCTGAGGGAAGGACGAAGCCCGTTGTTGTCGTCGTCGATGTTTTGGTTCAATCGCAGAATCGGGAGATGTACAAAGAACGACGTGGTGGAACGGTGGCACAAACGAGCTGGGTTGAGCGGGAGGAGGAGGAGGAGACAGCTTGGCGATGCAGCAGTTCCCCGGATCGTCGTCGAGTGGATGTGTTTTGAATTGATCATGGCACTGGCTGACGACCGCCATTGACTGGCCAGGCAGTGACTAGGTAGGTGCCCGAGTAAAAGAGCACGGCCAGTATTCTTTCTGTATCGCATCTACATAGTAGGTCGGTAGGTAAGTAGTGGCCGGATTGGATGCAAGTGAGAGGAAAGGGATGTACTCAGCAGGTCACTCTCCCGCACAGCGATCATCGATCAGCGGAGTCAAGAAGTCAATTCGCCCAAACGCTGCTCACGTTCGACAGGGACCCCTCGTCCCATTCGTGTGCTGGGGGCCCTTGGAAGTCCCGACGGGGGAGCGGTCCACGGGCATCTAGGCCCTTCCCAGACGTGCCCAGGGGACCCAGCCGGGAAGATTCGATAGGTTGCCCACGGCTGCCACGGGGGGCAGAGGCCAAAGAGTGGGCAATGCACCGCGCACTCAAACAGCGAGGAACACGAGGGATGGCTTTTTTCTTTCCAATTGCATCCTGCATCCATTCACCATTCAGCACTCAGTCGCGGTGCCTCCCGTCCAGTCCTCCATCGCCTCCTAGCTGTCGTTTCCCACTTCTTCATCGAGATCGTGCTTCCACCGGGTGATCGAACATCGCCCCCGTCCACGTCTTCCCTATCTACGGATACAACTCGAGCCCATTCCGGCATGGCAGACCACAGTCTCGCTAGGTCGTTTCCCATCTGTCCCTCGCCCAAAATCCCCCCCCATCCCCGAATTCCATCTCACACCTCGCCCTCGCTCGCTTCAACCCATCATCCCTACCCTTGTCCTTTCCACCCATTTCGCCATCCATCCCCATCCATCTTCCACCACGTCCCCCTGTCCTTCACCACCACCCATCATGCTGCCCGGGCTTCGCAAGTAACCACCACCGGCGACCGCGGCCTAGCCAGAAATGCCCCGGAGATGAGGCTACAAATGTGGGCAAGGCACTCCAAAGCTGCGACGGGAAGTCAAAACGCCTCGGATGAAAGCGGCTCTCTCCCTGCGCGGTGGCTGCAGAATCTCACCAGCCTTCCCTTCCCGCGAACCTTCTGTTCCTCCATGAACAAAAACGGGAATGCGTCAGCCTGTCCGGGCTAACTCGCCGCCCATCGTATGAGCCGTCACATTCTCGACCGCCGCCAGCAGCGGGGGAGTTGCATTCTGGAGAGACCTACAATCGGCTGACATTGCTACGCAGTATTACTTTACGCTCGCCGCCGCCGCCGCCCTATGGACACACTGACTGACCACACACGTACAAGTCGACTAAGGTAGCTCAGCAGTACCACTGGCGCCTCCCGTTCCGTTGCATGGAGCAGGGTCCGAAAGCAGCTTCAATAACTACCCAAGCAATGCACTACAAGTCAGCATGTCGAGATCTTACTTGTCATTCTCGGAGCTTCTAACGACCACTCAACACGCGTTGTTGCTCCACTGCGCCGCACGTCGCCTGCACCCATTTATCCAGGTTCTCCCGGTCTGCCCACCCGCTTTGCTGTCGACCTCACCGAGACTCGAGCGCTTCTCGCCGAGTCCACCGCGGCACCTCCGACCTACTCAGACTTTGCCCTCCTCATTCGCTCTCCGCTATCCGGGTCCCGTCCCTCGGCATTTCCCTCCCACACGCCTCATCCGCGTTTCACGGCACCAAGAAAATTCTCGGCGGTTCAGAGGAAACAATTTTTCCACGGCGGCACTTTCGCCGAATAAACAACACTCGCTCGGATCACCAAACGCATCGTCTTCAGGTTCAAACATCTCTTAAATTTTAACAAAGAAGAAGAAAGTGGTGTATCGTCAGTCATTACAAGAGTCATAAAGCCCCCCTCATCCCTGTCATGTTCCATTCCGTTCCCGCCTGACCCGACTCTCCGGAGCCTTTGGGTTTGTTTCCTGTTGCCTTTCCTTTCCGACAGCCAAGTCCCAAATCCGTCCGAAAACATGGATCCAATGCGCCGTCCTATTTCCCGACTTACATAAGGTAACAGATAACAGAATGTACAGGTGTTTCGTCGTCAAGTCGATGGGGCTTTTTTCTGGGTTTCGTTGTTTTGTTTTTGTTTGGGTATTCATCATGATCTCGTAAACATGAGCGGGACCAGCGCAGACTGGCTGGACATGGCCCGGTCGTCGGGCAGCACGCTCACGAAGCTGCGTCCAAAGAAGCCCTCTCTGAGCCTCGTCTGCATGCTGCAGTCCTTGGGTGGGCCTGGCGTCTTGCTCCTGAACTCCTTGGAGAGCTTCATCAATACCGCCGCCTTGGCCTTGCGAAGCGCGCTGACCCGCGCCGCCGCATCTTCGGCAAGCACGCGGTGCGCCTCCTCTTGCTCGATGTTGCGTTGCACCGACGAGATGCAGTCCTCGGGGTCTGAAAGTCGGCTTGCGTTGGGATCATACACAGCCGGCTGGAGCAACACCGGGTGCGAAGAGGTATCCTGAATAGGCGCCGAGATAATGGGCACCGGCGTTGACGGACGGAAGACATCGTCCTCTTCCGGTACCGGGGGCGGTTGTCGGTGGTGCTTGTGCTTGCGGTGGCGGCTCTGGCTTCTGCTCCTGTGATGCTTGGAAGAGGAGGCCTCCTTTTCCTTGCCGCCATCGTCCTTGCGGTGCTTTCTGCGTCGGTGCACGCGCTTCTTCTTGAGTATTGTGCTAAACGATGTGCTGGCCTCCTTGGCGGCCGCGACATCAGGGTCCAGATCCTCGTCCAGACGCTCGTCCAAACCATCGTACAGGTCATAGTGGTCATCTTCATCATTAACGTATAGTAGCTCACTGCTGAGGTCAAAGTCAAGCAGCTCGCGGGTAGCCGCCGCAGCCGCAGCCGACGGCGAGGGTAGGTCAAAGTCCTCGTGGGACGGCTCCGAGTGCAAGCTGCCTGCCTCGGAATTGTTTCTAGAGTGTGAGTGCTGGGACCAGAGGTCGCTCTTGGAGGACACAGGCTCCATCAGCGGGGCAAGCGCCTCGTCCCAGCTGCCGCCGTTGATGAGCACGACATTGTCGAAGTCGAACTCCTTGACGGTTTTCTGGTGCGCGTCGACAAGATCCGCGAGTTGCGGCGCCGTCATGGTCGCGTTGCGCACCTGCATGTACCGCAAGCGCGGGAAGTGCATAGGCTTGCGGGCCGGCGCCGGCGGGAGGGGGGACATGGGCGACGTGACCTCCGCGAAGAGCTTCTTGCAGTTGCGCGGGGGCGCGAAGAGAGGATCCGCGGAGAGTGCGATGGGGTTTGGGCCCTTGGGGCCGAGCCAGGTGAAGTTGAGCTTCTCGAGTGTGCCGGAGAAGCCGCGGATGTAGTCGTCGATGATCTTGAGATGGTCCAGGCCGGGCGACGGGCCGTAAAAGTCCCACGCTTCAACGGAGATGCTGAGCTTGCGAATTTGCTTCCACCTGCGGCCCGCCGAGGGGACGGCGCCGAAGCCGGGGACGTGACGGAGGTAGTTGAAGGCGGAGGGGTGCATGCCCGACAGGGAC